AGCAGTATACTATCAGAAACTTTTGCCATACATTGTACCTGAAGTATTGTGTAGCAAATTGTGTTTACTACTTCACCTGATGTTTATAGTTAAGATATAATAATGTCAAGGTCGTCAAGCGGAAAAGCACCTTATGATATGATTCTGATTTTGCTTTAGATATTGTTAGTACAAGGTTAAAGCTTGTATTTTAGGAAGTTATTCTTATCAATTCAACGATTGAATGTTTAAATTCTAATCTGGAAAGAAAGAAGGTTCAGGTACCAAGGAATCATTTTTGTATTCTGATAAGTTAGTAAAAACCCTCAAAAATCAAATGATTGAAAATCATGTGCCCAATTTAAGAAGTTTCTACAACATATCACTTTGAATTCAAAAAGCTACCAGAGATCACTCTTCTTACAATTCACCAAGAACTTATATTGTAAGAAGTGGTAAAATATACAATTTGATATTAATTTTTTTTACATTTAATATTAGACTCTTAACAAGTAAATTTGAACATTCAATTGTAAGCTAGACAGTTTCTCGAATAAAACCTAAATGTTACCGTAACCTTTAGGCATAAAATTTTACGGCCGTCAGATGTATATGCATTAATATCGGCAATATAAGTTCCCTGTTATTTAATTTTTTAAAAAAAAAACTTTTTAAAAAAAAACCACAAGGTAAGTTTAATAGGAATGAAATAAATTTGTTCATACCGGGAGAATAGCGTTGGGTATTTCAAATTCACGGTGTAATTCACGATGACCTTTCTTGATTGGACAATTTATTTCTGCATATTCGGCTGATTTTTCGCACAAGTCCATTCTTTCATCAAAAATATTGACTGAACCAAGTTTAACAACCACATCAACATAACTACCGTTCAAGATTGTTTCCTTTAAGAATCCAGCAGCATCAACAAAGAGTGGTTTTCCTTTGGCTGGTGGATCAGGTTTCAAATTAATATATTCAATTTGAAGAATATCTTCACTTTTACTACAATCTGTTATGGTTCTTGAAACTGTGAAAGCATTATTATCAAGTTGTAAAGAATATTCTTGAGGATGAATTTTTTGTAAAAAAATTGAATTGACAATTGTGACTAGTGATAGTAAAAGCAATAATAAAATTATATTTTTCATTTTTGTTTCTGACATTACTGATATTAAATTTTTTAAAAAAAAATAATAATAAATTACATTTAATTGTTACACGCACGAAAAGGGAGAATAAATAATGACGTACTTTAAAACAGCGCCAATTTTGGTTTTATTATAAGTTCTGGGATTCAAGTGTATCAATACCAAATTTGTAAAAAAATTTCTTCGATAGTTACATAAAAATAGGTGAATAATTGGCATTTTGATTGTGCAAAAGTACCATTGGCGGTAGAGTTCGTCAAACTTTACATATAAAATCTTTCACACGCTATAAAAATAAAAATAAAAATACTATAATAAAAAATTAGCCTAGGCTCGTCAAATTATGCATGTAAAAACTTCACATTTATAGAAAAAAACGTGTGATATAAATAATCGAAATCAGTGTCAATGTCTAAAATCTATTACTATGTGCGGAACGCTCGCTCCGAGCATAATCATTTATTTGCGCACAATGCGGGATCAAATAAAATAAAATATTAAATTATATATATAAATATATATTAATGCCAGTTCACAAATCCTTTTATTTACTTTTTTTCTCGCAATATTTTTTTCTGATGAGCTTTTTCAAATATAAGATATCTTTTTATTCACTCCATTCACATTAAAGCTTTTGAAAAGTATTCAAAAATGAATAAATGGGACAAGTCACTTAGTCCCACAACTCTTTATTGGTCGTGTAGATTTTTAAATTCTCCAAAAATGGAAATGCAACACCCCAAAATAAATCGCGTATTTGAAGCCAAGACCTTCCTCTACAAAATCACGATTTCATCTCATTGATATGTCATGTTGTTGTGGAGAATTTGAGCTTCAAAGTTGCACAAGTCCAGACTTGACTGTTACCATACAGGCATTGATTGCTGATGATAGCTGGCATTCGTGTGATGATTGCTTTTATACCTCTCTAGAATAAAATTAATGTTAAGACTGGTTTGAAAATTCCGCAACTCGGGATGTTGCAACCTGGGTTATTGTTTTGAATTCCCCCGAATTCCGAGTTTTGAGGCCTGGGTTGCTGTCTTGTTGGGGCACACCTACTCAACAACAACCTACCCCCATTTAAAAAACAAAAAAATTCACTTTGTCAAACAAAAATTTAGAGAAACAGAAAATTTGTGAAAATGGCTAATTTGTACAAAACATACCAAACAAAATCTAAACATTTTATAACATTTTTCTTGTTGACCATATTGTTGACAAAGATGTATATAATCATAATTTTAAACTATAGGACAGGGAACAAAACCCCATTCAGTCCCTTACCCAAAATTATAAATCGGTTAGTATCAAAGAAACAGAGAATTTAGGAAAATAATTATACAAAACAAACACTATTTTACAACTTTCCTCTTAGCATCAAAGCCCAAACACAATTTCAGGGTCACCAGTCCCACTCTGAATTACAACCTCCTGTGCTTGAAATGAGTTGCAGATCTTCTTAATATTCTTCCAGAGTTGCGACAGCCTGGTCACAGAGCCATCCTTAGAGGTAGGATCATTGCAGGCAATTTGTCGACTTTCTTTGGTCTGGGTGCTGTGAGGGAAGATTAGTGAAAAGTGTCATTGGCAATTAATGCAGTCTCAGTAAACTCCAGGGCCACGTATTTCCCCCTGAAAATTTAGTTGCATCATTGTATCATCGGTCCATCAGGTAAGATTAGCCTTGTGCACATGAGGAACATGTGAGAATGACTGTAAGTGTTAAGGTAGCATGCGTGCTTCAACACTTGTCAAATTTCCGATAATCAAACATCGCATATTAATATCAAAATGTTTCACTCCCTTGTATCACCTTGACTTTTCATATTATTTAATAATGTTGATTATGAAAAGCCAAATACCAACCATTTGTTTACCATCTTGATGAGATTTTTATAATTACCCAGAAAGCTCTGCTCCGCGTTTTGATTTAAAAGACACATCAATGCAAATTAAAAAAAAGTTACCTCTGGTTAGTTATTAACACGTCTTTAGAACCAAATCATGTCAAACAACATCACTCACATTTTGTCATCTGTCAAAAAACAAATTGTTTTTCCAAAAAAAAATAAATAATTGGTGTACAGTCAAACCTCGTCACAGCGACAACGAATTTAAATATCGGCTCCTTTTTTATTAATTAAAAATATTTGTCATAACGAATTTTATTAATATTAATATTAATTCGAACTTTATTTATCTACATTTTATATTTTTATTATTTATTTCATAATTAATTTTAAAAGTATACAATGCCACTTTTTGACTAAATGAAAGAACAAATCAATCAACCGTTTAATTAATGTATTATTTCGGGTCATGCTTATAAGAGTAGAGGCAGAAAATTAAAATTAATATAAATTATTCTTTTATCGTTCTGAAATAATTCTATTTTCACACTTTTGTGGTCGAAAATTAAACAGTAAGGTTTAATTGTCCATTTGGTTATCAGAATGGCATAGAATTATGAGGTTTTGTAATTAGGTTTTGGTTATTTGTTTTAGTTAAGGAAGCGAGGGTTTAGTTTTTGGGTAAGGTTTTGTTTGTTTAAGTTTTTGTAAACGGGTTTAAATGTTTAAGTGTAAATGTAAGATGTTAAGACTGATTGACAAAGTTAATATTATAATTTGGTACATTATTTTTATAAAGGCCAATGATTTTGCCATGTTGATTTTCAGTTAAGGATGTTTAAAGTTTTTTTAAGAATTGGCTCAAGGTTTTATTAAAAATGATATCTTTTTTCAAAAAAATTCAAAACAACGCAAATGTTCATAAATAAAATAGGAACTCTATAGGAACCTTTGTTTCTTTGTAGAAAAGACATCTTTATTTATTGTAATTCGTTGTCGTTTGTATAAATTGTGTCTAAATATTCACCGAGGCTTTCTAAGTACAAGAAAGAGGCAACAAGCAGGATAATTTCGTAAAATAACTTAATTGACGAACATTGTATATAAAAGCTTTCAATTAATCGACGAGTGTAGCTAAAAAGTTAACCTGAAATCGGCCATAAAACATAAAATAATCGAGGTTGACCGAAAAGCTACCTCGCAACATTACAAACATTTTACGTTGAAAAAAAAAAAGCTTAGGACTTTTTCAGGACTTAAGTTCGGTCCGGTCCTAAGATAGAATTGCCGATCCCAAGACCGGACCGGACGGTTAAGGACCAATTAACATTTCTAGTTATAGCAAGGGGTTTGGTTATAGATTATTTTTTTCTTTAAAAGGCGAGGGACGTGTTTTTTTTTTAATGTTGCTTGATATGAATATCAAGAACTTTTTAACTTGTCCTTTGCCCAAATTTGGCTAAATCGATATTCTAGTATTAAACAAATTATTAATGTGGGCTCATTTTTTTGATTAGAATTAGAAAAATTCTGTATTTGTAACCAATAATTTACTTGGATGAATTTTTATCATAAGTTTTCATTTAAAATATTCTCGAATGATTTTAATTTATTTATCAATTCTCGAATGATTTTATAATGAGTTTTAGTTGAGAATATTTTTTAAATGACAAAATAAATAAAAATTTATTATTTATTTGTCATGAATTTTATTTGTGCTCCCGAATGGTTTTATCGTAAGTTAAATATTAATATTCTCAACTGATTTTTTTTTTCGAATGAATTTTTTATATCGTAGGTTTTTTTATTAGAGATCTGCCAAAGATCTACAAAAGTTCAACACATTATTGAAATCCTGTTATAACTAGGTTCGACTGTAGATAAATTATCTTTTTTTTTAGTAAAAATGTCTTGTAAACCTTATTAGATTTTTATATTCATATATTATGGAACGTGTAAATCTTAAAACAATACCAACAATTGTGCAAAATGTGAAGGAAGAAGATATAGATGAGGATTATTCAGAGTTTATACCATTGAATAAACCTAAAAACTATAATGTTGAAAAATTAATAAAAATGTCGGCAATGGCTTGTGCATGTACATTCGGGGTTGGGAGTCATTTTGCGATACATATAATAGGTCCCTTAAAAGGGATATTAATGGAGGTATGATATAAGTTTCTACATCTACATTTACCCTTTTTCTAAACTTTTTATAAACTCTGATCCAAGACTTACGTTCATCGGCATTCTTTTTAGCGAACGCCATGTCGATAAGTTTGTGGTCTTCATCATCCATTGGCTTGAATTTTTTAACGTGTTTACCCAAGTCATTGAAATATTCTCTAGCTTCCTCAGATGTGCTGGTCCCAAGCCCTTTGTAATATTTAATGGTCCATCCTTTTCCGTTATCGTTACTGTTTTTCCATTCCTCAAGCTCTCGTAATGTATAGAATGGTATACTTGTTTTATTTTTTGAACATTTCACAATTGGCGTGATGAACTCTTGCAAGAAACCAGGTTGCTTTAACAATGAGGGATAGAAATGGTCAAAGAAATTGATGATCAACCCTTTAATATGGCTGCCGTCAAGATCTTGGTCCGTCATTATCATCAATTTCCCATAACGCAAGTCCTTTAGTGAATCATATTTTTTATCATGCTGCAAACCAAGTATTCGCTTTAGAGCTTGAATCTCTTTATTTTCTGCCACTTGTTTTACAGATGCATCTCTCACATTTAACAGTTTACCCCGTAAGGGGTAAACTCCCCAGTTGTTATGCCCTACAACATCAAAGCCAGCCAAGGCCAAGGCTTTTGCCGAGTCGCCTTCTGTCAGCACCAATGTGCAGTTACATGCATTTTTTGTCCCGGCGTTTACTGCATCATCTAATTTTTCTACGTTGACTGTATTTTTTTTGGCGCCATCTGTTTTCTTTAGTACTTGGACTTGCTTTGACTTGAGATCATTCACAATACTCTCTATGATGCCAATCTTTATTGTTTTTTTTATAAAGTCATCATTTATTGTGCATTTTGATCCAAAAGAACTTTGCTTCAATGTCATATATTCTTTTGTTTGAGAGTCAAAAGTGGGATTTTCAATTAAACAATTAACAAATATCCAGATGTGGTTTCTAACTTGCTGGGGCTTGACCTTAAGATCTTTGTTTTTCTTTTCAATATGTTCGGCAAGTTTTGTGGTGATTTGTTCAGTAACATGTTTAACGTGAAGTCCACCTTTAGATGTGCAAATACTGTTTACAAAGCTTACCTATTTATTATTGTTGTTGTTTTAGGGAAGGGGAAAAAACGATTATATAAATATTTGTGAGTGAATATTAAATGAGACATCATGAGTGTTATAATATATGGATAAATCTTATCACTACTTACTTGTTGGAATTGACCTTCGACACTAGGTGCAATGACAACCTCCCAACGTTCACCAAATTTTTCATGCACAACACTAATTTTTGATGATGCAGCATCTGCATTTACCGATTTCAGATACATTTGAACATATTCCTTGAAATTTTTAACTTGTATACGTTTATCATTAAGGAAAACCTTGACATCTTTTACTACTCCAGCCGTATCATATACTCGTTTATTCAACAAAGCAACAGTATCATCAGTAAATTCAGTCATTCCAAATTTTTCAAGATCAGGATTAAATGATATCTTGGTGTATTCTTCTTTTTTATTGTAAGCAGTGATTTTTGGACTATCAGTTTTTCTCATGTTTTCTGAAAAATTTTGGACATATTTCTTTTTCTGATTTGAGTCAGCAGTTTCAACAGTGAATTTGGTGCTGAAAATATTTGCAGATTTTGCACCAAGACCATTTCTTCCACCGGTGATTCTTTTTACATCATCGTCATAGTTTGATGAAGTCATAAGTTGACCAAACAACATTTCAGGCACATGAACATTAAGATCCTTGTGAATTTCGATTGGAATTCCTTTACCGTTATTGTATATTGAAATATGTCCTTTTTCTTTATCGATGTTGACTTTGATTGTATTCATTAAAGGATCACGAGCCTATATTATTTGTTATTCGTCATAAATGATTATTGTATATATATATTTTTTATTTAATTTAGAAATGTAGAATATAATTAAAAATTATAATCTTTGTTATTATTATTATTAAAAACAAAATTATACCTTATTATCAGCAGCATTAACGAGTATTTCATCAAATATTTTAAAGAATCCTGGGACATAAGTAATCTCTTTGTATTCAAGTTTATCTTCTTCAGAATTATAAATCCATTGTTTTTCTGTGACAGCTTCTACAGAACCAACGTAAGTGTCTGGTCTTTTAAGTACGTGTTCAATAGGTGATAGTTTAATATAGGTTTCTTCGATTGATTTTGAAGAGGCAATTGTGTTCGAGTTTGAGTTCGAGTTTGACATGTTTGTTTTTTTGCTAAACAATTATAAGTTGTTAAACGATTATAAGTTGTTAAATAATTATAAGTTGTTAAATAATTATAATAATTATAATAATTATAATAAGAACGTAAGTTTTTATTGAATAAACTTCATAAACTTTTTTTTTTCGAGATAAAAAGAGTTAATATACGCGTTTTAGGGAAAACAATAACAATAACTTATTTAAAAAGTTTGTGAAACATTTTGCATGATGTGCACATCCAAGTAACACAAAAATTTGGTGTCATAAAATAATTTATTAAATTAATCTATTTTTTAAATTGCAAAATGAATAAATATTAAAAAAATGCATCAAGTATGTTAACTTACAAATTATTAAATTAAGTATATGAATACTATTAATTGTTATATATATGTGCGTGTGCGTGCGTGCGTGTTTGTGTCTATATATTTATTTATGCCAGAGAATCTAATCTCTTCTCTATAAGTAAATGAATCATTCAGAGTTGTTATGACCAGTAGCATGTACTCCGGCCTTTTCAAAAGCAACAATCGCAAAGGTTAACCAACAAATTAATAACAATAAGGCAATTATTCCAATATAAACTATTGTTCTCTTTTTCTTTTTTGACAATGCTGTTTTAACGAATGTTATTTCATCTTCTATGACCACCATTCGCATACTTTCACTGCTTTGCATTTCTTCCATTTCTTTATCAACTTCAACTTCGTCGTCATCATCATTTTCTTTTAATTTATCATAATTATCAAAATCATGATGAATTTCATTATTGTAACCATCATCCTTTGAATTTATATTACCATCTCTATATTTCTTATCTGCCCACCAAAATACCAAACTGCTTAAAAGTAAAAGAAAACTTAGGATGGCAAACATTCTTAAAGCCACTAAATCATCATCCTCATGTCCATATTCAATTCCGTTACTAATTTCGTATTTTTTCCTTTTAACATGTTCATCTAATAAAAGTCCTGCAAATGTCTGAGTTAATGTTGCCCCAATATTATCAACACTTTTTAATAATCCAAGCCCAGTTGATACATGTTTTGTCAATAATGGTACTAAGGTGACAAGTGTTAATGGAACTGAGGCGTATGCAAATGCAAAAAGTAGAATTGGTGGATATGAATGAACCAATTTTGGTGGTAGTAAAAATAACAAAAATGTCATTAAAATTGCTGCAGATCCGGAAATTACTATAGATACAATTGTTTTTAAGTTTATTAATAATATTGTTCGTTGTTGTTGTTTTTAAATGTATATAAATGATTAATTTTTCTTACGTATATACAATCTCATCCCATATTTATCCATAAATAATCCCAAAAATGGGTATAATATTACAGGTATTAATAATATTATAGATGCGTCCCAT